TTCTTTCTTTCTGTGTCTTCTTCGTGCCCACAATAAAGGCATTTTTTCTTCATTTTGTTTTTCTCTTGTGCCAAAAACTTAACAAAAATAACTCATGTTTTAAGTTATCATCACCCTCTCTCCAAGACTCTACACTGTAGTTTCATGAAATTATTGAAAGATCAGTGATTCTAATTTTTTTACTGAAAAATCCAGTAAAGAGCAGATGTTTTCTTTCTCTGGCTTATGTCATTTGCATAGTTCATGCCCATTTATTCCTGTGTTGCTTCGTTTACATATTTTAGTTTTCCACCCAGTCAGATATTGATGGATTTTTTTTTTCTAGGTTGTCTAGAGTTTTTCCCCTAGGTTTTACAAACACAAGGCAATATTCATGAACATGTCCTGATAAAGTAGTTCACTGCCTCTCCTGTCCGTGTGGTAGTCATGTATAGAATTGTTACATCAAAGTACAGCTATACATTTTCATTCTTAGCAATAGTGTGTGAGAAATCTTTAGTTGCTCCAAATGTTTGCCTAACATTAGTGCAGCCAACCATTTTCACTATAGACATTGTGGTAGGTGTCTATTGGCATTGTTGTAGTCAAGGTTTGCAAGGGAATAACACAAGATACAAAATTTTTAGGATTACTTTATAATAGTCACCCGAAGAGTTATACACAACGGAAGTGCAAAAAACCTGTCCATACACTACAGACCAAAAGAATCGAGCTGCAGGCCTTGATCCCACCACAATGTCCTGCATGAATCCAGCTGAAGACCAAGAGCCCATAACAGTGCCTCTCACAAGTCCAACTGGAGACCAAGAACCCATGACAATGTCCCACACATGTCTGTTTCACAGATCTGAGCTGAGAAGGCCAGAAGGTCAGTCGTGGGAGCTAAAATGTCTGTGACAGCAGGATGAAGGATCTGTGCCAGCAGGTTGAGGGATCTGCACTGGATCCCAGAAATGATACTCAAAGTGAAAACCAGAGCTCCCCTGAAAATTACCACAGCCATCCCAAGTTCCTCTGACAATGAGCATAGCTGAGCTCCTATCAGGAAGCTCAGTGCAACAACCTTCTCCAGGAAACTGAGCATTGCACAATCATCCCTTGTGGAGCCAGAAAGTGATGCTCACAGTAAGGACCAGAGCTCCGCCAAAGTGAACCAAAGGTATTCTCAGTGCCAGCAAGGTCTGAGCTCCTTTGACGATGAGAACAGCTGAGTTCATCAGGAAAGCCAGCATGACAAGTACTCTCCAGGTGAGCCAACATCTCTCTAACATCTTCTAAGATTCCTCTCTACTTCTGCCTCTTATGCTGCTGGTTATAACCCTCAGATGGGTCCCCCACACCCAGCACCATGCTGATTCAGTTATGCTGGGTGCTAGAAGTCCACCATGGTACCTAATTGCAGTATCCACATTTCCTGATTGAATAAGTAACTGCCATATCTTCCTACATGTCTGTTTTCTATCAGCATGTCTTCTTTAGTTATGTCTCTCTAAACTGTTTGTGTCATGTGGGTTGGTTTGTGTTTTCTATTGAATTTGGAGACTTCTTTATATAGTCTGGATCCAACGCATTTTTCAGACAGAAACACAGTATTTTCTCATAGTTCTGCATGATGCAACTGAAGATCAAAGAATAGGCATGCCTGGCTTTCCCTAAGGTCATTCTCCTTGCCGTTTTTACACATGATATTCCCCCACTTTCTATCATGCCTTTAATCCCTTTGTACATCTAAATTCCCTCTTCTAATTAGTCATGTTAGATTAGGAGCTACCATGTCCACAGCACAAGGATCGTACTTTCCAGAACCTACCTTGAAATACAACCCCATATTAGCAAAGGGAACACTTTCTGAATTGGAATTCAGGGACAGGTGCTACAACACGTCTCTCAATAGAATTCTTCACTTTCTGTTAATATTCTCAATGGAAGTTTTCAAAAGTCTGCACCATCTTTCTACCCCTTGGATAAATGCCTGGGTCAGTGTGTGTTTACAATGTGGCATTTAATTGTGTTAATATCATGTTGCATATTTTCCCATATCTTTTTATGATGGAACATTGCTTTTTATGTTTTTTTTTTTTTTAATAGTCCATGTTCAGAGTGCACAATGATGACATTTCCTGTGTGGAATTGGTGCATGCTCATGGCATGTTCCAACTCCTTTTTTACCTGTTTGACCTCATCACTCCCTGTCCCTCCATTTCTCTCTCTCTCTCTCTCTCTCTCTCTCTCTCTCTCTCTCTCTCTCTTGTCTTTTTTGGGATAGGGTCTCACTATGCAATTCAAGTTATCCTTAAATTCACTATTATAGCCAAGGCTGGCCTTAAACTCACAATGATCCTCCTGCCTCAGCCTCCAGAGTGCTGGGATTACAGGCATGTATCACCACGCCCTGATCCTCCATCTCTTAAATCTTTTCCCATTTGAGATATATCTTTCTCTTATGTCATATTAACTTTCTTTTATTGTACTGTTTATTTTCATTTTGGGTTTCTTATATGAGAGAAATCATGTGCTCCTGAAGCGTGTGTGTCTGATTTATTTTATTAACATGAAGGTCTCAAGGTGCATCTGATTTCCTACAAATGATTTATCTTTATTTTTCTGGGTTCAGTAGATGAAATTCTACATATTATGAACCTCTGTGCTGCTACATATCAGCTTGTGTAGTTGTGTTTCCCAGTTTCACTTATTTCTTAGCATTAAAATTACTACTGATAATCCCCAGGGTACAGCTCAGTGGCACAGGGCCTGCCTGGCAATCGCAAGTCCTGAATTCAATTCCTGGTGCAAGAAAAAAATTGTACCTGGTATTTTGATTATGCTAAGGCAGCTGGAATCTTTTAGTCTATCTTCTGTAGAGATCCACTAGCACCTGATTATCTAAGTCCTATCTTTTGGGTGAAAAATGTAATCTGACTTCTTATCAGTCATCCCTGATGGATTGTATTGTACATTCCTGCTTTTCTCTTAATTGCTGCCTTTTGAGATACATGGCAGTGATATAGTTTTCACTAAGTATGGCAGGTTTTCCTCATCCACGCAAGTGTGAAATAAATTCCCTCCCTGTCTTCTCCTTTTTTCTTTTGATAATTTCAATTCTGTGTTTGTTGATTTTCATTCTATGCATTGGGCATCTATCAGATTTAATCTATCTCCTCTACTTTAGTGACTAAAAGTGACACTCAGGATTCAAGGGGAAAATCCAAAAACATGTGATCTGGGATGAGTAGTAGAGGGTCTGTATACATAAAGGTTTAGTCTAAGTACTATTTCTTTAATGTTATTTTACCATCTTCTCCGTAATCCCTACAATTCAGTACATGCCTTCTACCATGTGATGATTCAAATGTTCTTGATGTCAGCTATGCAACCAAGGATTTATTTGTTAGTGGATTCCAGCCAGCCAGCATCATTGACGCTGAACTGAACATTTCCATTGCAGTCTAAAAGTCCTTGCCATGAACCTGTAAAAAAAATTTTAATCATGCAGCTCCATCTCTCCAGTGATATCTGGTAGAAAATTTGATTGCATGAAGAAGTTCCATGATAGCTCATGTTTACACAAACATTAGGACTCTCAAGAATTAATAAGAATTATCTATTTCATTAAACACAAAGTTTTTTCAACAGTCGTGATCAAGCAGATATTTTTGTGTGTTGCAAATTTAGTACCTTTCTTCAGAGACACATGTGTACCTATTTCGGTTTATTTAATCAACTATGAAAAAGAGAAACATGAAGTAGGACATAGGTGAGCTTGGGAAGAAAAGCTGTTAGGCAGGGTTCATGGTATCTCAGGAAAGACAGAGCTTATCTGCTCTTCACATTGATGATCTTGATGCCACGGAGAAGATGATGATAAAAATATTCCTGGTTCTTCCTCATCTGTGAGAATGGAGACAAAATTACAGTGTAGCTAAGGTGAGGTTATTGCGATAATGTTGGTGTGCAGATACCTAGCTATAATCACCATCTAGGCAGAGGGACTCTGGTCCAGATATGGTCACACATGGTCACTCTCCAGACCTGCATCTATATATAATCTTGGCTTCATTCTATAAGGAACGTTTCTGTGAGAAGCAGTAATCTTACAAGATGCTGTATCAATGATGGCAAATCCTTTAGAGTTTTGAATGCAAAGAAACGGCCACCTGGGGCACGTGTGCCAAAGGTTCACCACCATTAGTCTTTGTGCAGAATTACGCGACATTTCTAAGACACATGTTAAAGTCTAACACACACAAAATATTATCTGCAAGTGTGCGTGCCATTCATAACTTCTATGAATCTCTAGCTTTACAGGATATTTTGCCAGAACTAGACAACTTATTCACAATGGGATTCATTGAATTGATAACATTGTTGGTGCAGAGTTGAAAATAATTCCTTCAATTTATCCCCCAAATAAAGTTGTATACATATGTTATGGTTTGTGTCAGAATGTCCCCCCAAAACCTCATGCAGTCACGAGTTATGATTGATTCACAGTCCAATGTTGGAATTATGGATGTGAGTGCTACACCTGCCCTGGGGCAGAGAGTTTTCATAAAATGTAAGGGAGGGAAAGAGGCTCGCTCTTCCAGCTGCCACTCCTCCCTTTTTGCTCTTTCTCCTTTTGCTGTTTTTTTGCTGCCATGAACTGTTGACCATTTCCATGAGCCACCCTGCCTTGGAGCCAGCTGAATATGAACTAAAACCTCCACAAAATGTGAGCTAAATAAACCTTTTCTTCCTTAATTCTGGGTTTCAAGTATTTTTTTCTCAGCAATGAGAGAGTAGTAAGCAACACAACATGTACGTATATAATTTTTTAGCCTTGGACGGTGTTATTTTTTAGAGTACTAAGAAACATACATTAATATAAATCACTGCTTTGAGTCCCTTTGAAAATGACATTTTGTTAGTAAAACCTCAAATATCCTAAAAGGAAAACAGTCCTCAAAGGCTAAAATACCGGGAGAAGGAAATGCTTGTTTGTACTCACCATCGCTATGGCCTTAATCAGGACAGGTATCTGTGAAAGAAAATAAACAATAAAGGGAGGGAATTTTAAAAAAAAAATTGGAAATTATGAGTAATAATAAGGAATTTTAATTTCAGCTCAACAGCCAATTTTCTAAAAAATAAGAAAGCAAATCTGAATCTTGTATGGTCAGGATGTGTTTTCAATTCAGAAAAGCAATATTTTTATATTGTAGGATGGAGGGCAGGGACTCTACCTGCTTCGGTGAGGTATCTTATGTTTTGCGGTGAAATGTTGCACAAGGCAGTGAGTTCTTCATATTTCTCCCTCTCTTCCTCACTCATACTTCTTCCAGTCCCTGCATTTCATTGACAAGGTCAGGCAGAGAGATGGTCAGTAGACGGTCACTTAATTTTTAAAGTGTCCCTCGCATAGCACTGCACCGTCACCTGGTAAGTCTCACCATATTCACCTCCCTCCCTTCTGGCAAGTGGATGTGCTCCACCAATCATTATCAAGTTAGATGAGAGTAGTTGGTCAAATCTTAATATTGAACACCCTATTTTAATTTTTCCCCTTTTAGGATGACAGAAGACAGTGGTGACTATTTATGCTGTGGGCTTCAGTAGACCCAGATCCTGTGCATTGTCCAAAACACATACAAGTCGTGGCGATAGTTGGATCTGAAAGTCAGGAATCCTTCCTTATAGTAGCTTCTCATGTTGCCTCTTTTGACATTCTAGAGCCCATCCACAAATTTTTTATGATCTCCAGAACTCATCTAGGACACGACTGTTGGACTGAAATTGGGGTATCTCTCCATACTGTGTATTCTCATTCTTGGATGTTCATGATGTCTTTAGAATCCCTACCCTCATGTTCTAGTAATGTATTCAAATGAGAATAGAAAATAATGTGAGCTTTCCATGAGGAGTATCAGCCATATCACCTCTGCAGAGAGCAAACAGAAATTAAACCAGAAAAAAACAGTAAGTACCTCTCAATTCATGGTTGGCAAACCAAGGTTCAACTACCACATGCATCTTAAAAGTAGAGCTAATATAAGAAAGGTTCAAATGTATCTATCAATAACCCTGTGCATGCAGTTAGAAGTGAGGATGGATGATTTCACTAGGAACACTGTCTTCGAATGGCCCATGTGATTTCATGCTGATTTATGAAGCAACAGGTTCGTGCCTATTTCACTCTTAAATAGGCATGACAAAATGAAGACCTTATAGTTGAGATCAATTCAGTTCTGAGTCCTATAAAGAAGTTAGTCTGTTCAATGAGAATCTTAGATCTGTTTAAATTTCTGTTGACATAGTACAAGTATAGCCCTGTGAGGTGCTAGAACCTTCCCTCATGAATGATATAGGATTTCATCAACAACTAGTGTGGCATCTCATAATAGTTAAATCTTGGAGGTAGCCTGTATGGCCATCAACCAATGAGTGGATAAATAAAATATGATGTTTACATACAATGCAGTACTACTCTTCCATGAAAAAGGATAATCTTGAGTCATATGTTGGAGAATGGAGCACCTTGGGACCATATTTGTAAGTGAAATAAATCAGACACACAAGTTTAAGTGTCACATAGTTTTTCTTATATGAGAAACACAAAGTGTAAACAATTTAAAGTGCATAACAAAAGGGAAATAATGGGAAGTAAGGAGATAAATCTTTTGCAAATGGGAAGAGGACCAAGGATGGACATAGGGCAGAGTGGTTGGAATCAGCCTCACTAGCACCACTAAAGACAGTCATGAAAGATTTCCAGGACTGCTTCAGAGAATGGCAAGAAAGGTGAATAAGTGTGTCCAAAATGAGGAGGAAATAAAAATAATTAAGTTGCATTATGCACATCTCCCATGAATATAAGCACTATGTACTGCAAATATGCACAATTCAATAAGAACTCCAGTAGAATAAGTGTATATATCATTAATAGGAATGTCTCCCAACAGAGGTACTGAATGTTCTTTAGTTTGAACTGACCACATGTAGGCATTCTAAACTCAATTAAAGTGAAATTTGGAGACTTGGAGACACAGCCATTTCTGTACAAGGACAGTTGACAAAAAGAATATTGCATGAACATACAAAGCCGACATTAAAGGGGTTTGCCCTGCATAGAATGAATTGCAATTCTTACCAAGTGCCAAAGTGAGACGTGTGTGATCCAGAGAGTGTTCCCCCTCCATATAGATTGCATAAATCACCATGAAGTTGCTGGATTTATAAATGATTTTGAAGATATTGCTACCTGGAACTGTAGAAGCACAAAACATACTCAAATCTCAATGCAACAGACTCTTTTCCATTGTAACTCTGACATTACTTATTTGTAACATACAAGCATTGAACCTTCCTTGAATTACAAGGTCTTTATAACTGAACTCTCTGCTTATGTGTTAGAATCACTTATTTGAATTAATTGGGTTAGGGGAAAAATTCTAAATCCCATTGTAACAAGGCAAAGTTTTCCAGTTCTACAAAATTACCTAACAAATGTTTCATGATAGAAAAATTCCTTTTTGTAGGATTTGTAGGTGTAGTGTAGGTTGAAATCTCCAGTCCCCTGAAGCCAGGAATTTAATGGCCCAATCTCCAAGCATAGCCATTATTAGAAAGTAGTTTCACAAATATAAATTTTGACAAGTGTTGTCAAATTTAGAGGAAGTGCACATTCTGTACTTACCCATTCATAGGACATAAGATAGTGTAGGAAAAGAGATTGTAATGAGGCTATTGTGAATATCAGGCACGTTGCACTCCACTTAGACCAGTTACTGGTCAGTCACAGGGGAATTAAAAATACAAACCTCGGGGCTGGGGATTTAGCTCAGCTGCAAAAGCACCTACCTGGCAAGCGCAAGGTCGTGAGTTCGGTTTCCGGTACCGGAGAAAAACCAAAAAAAAAAAAAAAAATACAAACCTCATCAATTAAACATGAGAGTAACACATTGCACATTTTTTCACTGAAAATACCATCTTCAGCAGACTACATTTAATCATCAATTTGCAGTATACAACTCTTTGTGCTTAAATGTTTAATGCAATGACAGCCAAATTTGCTCAAGTTAGTCTCACAGAAGAAGCAGCTTGGTTCATGAACGTATTTCTTTCTAAGATTTTGTGCTGAATTGAATTGGATGGGAATTGAATTAAAATCAACTTTTAGTTTCAGTGTTGGCCTTACGGTGAAATTTGATTCAGTTCCCTTCCAATTTGATTTGTGACCAGAACTGGTTGTGAACTTACGTATTAAGAAAAAAAACAATTGCACTTTTTAGTAGTTTAAATGGCTTTTTCTTCTCTGAGAGCCGTAGGTGGTCATGGTAGAACTTTCTCTGGGATTCAGTCATGGAACCTTTTCAAGCCTAGAACTGGGCTGACCAATAGTTTACCTTGGCTATATGAGGCACAGTGAATTCTTTTTGGAAACTGAAGTAGCATTCTCAAAGCTATTTGTCGATAGCAAGGAAAAAATTCTTCTAGAATCCAAACCACTAACTATGTGAAACAGAACAAATCCACAAACCTGAATGTCTCCTAAGTTTGTGTCATGCAGTCATACTAGTAGATCAGGTACGTACCATCTGCTGTGTACATTCCGTATGCTCCACCACCACTGGCATTTGTGACGAAGAGTTTGCATTTCCCATTCAATCTTAAAAAGAAAACCAGACAACACTCCTTGATCCTCCTACAACCTTCCATTCTCCTTTACTTCACCAGAGAAGCCATGAGAACTGCAATGCTCCATGTGTGGGCTACAGATTAAATCCAAACTAAGCACACACTCCACTAATAATCTACACCAGCAACTCTACAATATAGCAACACCTTCGTTCATGAACGCTTCTGTGTGTGAAGAATTATTTGCAAAGAATGCAGTTCAAAAATTTTGCTTCTCTTCACGAGCTTTGCATCCGGCAAAGAACAGGACTGTGGCCATCTTCCCCAGCACTGTGGAACAGATTAAGTTCATGACACATGCTACCACTGTATATGTAAAGTGCTCAGTGGTTGATTTCATTTATATGCTTTCTTGATTTCTCCATAGGGTTGGGTATTTTCCTTATTCCATTTCAATGTTTCTTGGTCTCACAACGTGTTAGATTTTGGTGGTGAGGATGCTATGGCCAACATCATAGATGCTCTTGGCTTCCAGCTCCTGTTAAGGTAGCCAAAAATGTCTGCAGACAAAGACTTGTAGAAACAAAAGCTAAAATAATATCAGAAAGAGCAAAAATTTCAGGAAGGAGAACACTTAATGATTAAAATTTTTTTTAATATATTTTGACCAATTTTGCATGCTTATATCTGGTAATCTGAGCAATTTATGTAAAGACAACAATTTGCATTATAATAACCATTGGTGAAGTCCTATAATCCTGTCTAGTGAAGCTATTCATTGTCTCTAATGTTCTTTTAAATTATTATTTTCTTCTTCCCTTTAATGGTTTAATCAGTGGTTTTAATCAATCTTCCATTGCTACATTTGGTACCCTGAGCAACTTCACTGAAGAAAACAATGTGTAATACAACAACCACTGTTAATCCCTGTCATTTGGTTTGAAACCCTGTATCATTTTCAATGTCCTTGCTTTGTTTTATTTGTAATTTGCTGTTGTCCTTTTTCTTTTCTTTTTAGTATTCTCTTTACAATTAAAAAAAAAAAAATTAAACAAGAAGAAAAAAGACTTGTAGCCAGAGGTATTGGATGGAAGAAAAGCTACATCACACTTGGCCATAGGATTTTAGCATTCGTCCTTTGACATGAACAAACACACTGCTTCCAGCATTATAACAATCATTCTCTTGCCCCCAGCCAGATATTACAGATATTACAGAAGTTGCCCTTTAAGGGAATCCTTACACTGTTTCAGATCTGATTAAGCTTAACAAGAAGATTCAACTAGAGGCGAATGGTGATGCACCTAGAGACAGTTCTAGATGTGGCAACATGCACACAAACACATCCACGGTCAGCCCACCTCTCCATTCCTCCCACTAATATCTCAAACACAGCTCACAGTTACTTTACTTTTACATTTAATGATTGCTTTCTACACATGATGTACCCTTTCTTAATTTGCATTTTTAATAACCCCTCATGAACACAGAGATGAGCTAAAATGTGGGAATGTAATAGAAAATTGGTCTCCTTTCACAGTAAAACATTGTCTTAAAATGATAATTCTCTTCATCTCTACCTCTACTTATTCCATTCCCCAAATTCACTCAAAATATTTTCCTTGATAATACTCTCCACCAAACTGGTTGTTCACCACTGATGATTAGATGGAAAATAAATGAAATCCCTCTCTTATGTTAGTAACTAAATCTAGGCTGATTTTCTGCATGATGAGCACAAACCAATATTTTGTCATAAAATTTTTTAAGTGCACTCCTGTTTTTATTTCTGGGTGCACATGTTGTCATCATTTCAAATATGTCAAGCATGATTACATGGTAAAACCAACATTTCCTAAACTCATGAAAATATTTGGAATATTCTTTATGAAGAATAGTTGTTTGTTTTCTCTTGATTCTAGATTTAAAAGTAGTTTTCTTCATTCTAAGAGCTGTAAAATTATAACCATGCATAAATTTTCTTGCTCAAGAACTGAAAAATCCTTCAATTATTCATGCTTCAGTATAGCATTTGTCTTAAGAATTTTTCAAAGCTGTTGTTTAAAATTTGAACCATTGATTAAAATTTAAACCATCTGAAACAGGATTAGTAGACATGTGTACTTTTTAATGCATTGTATTTTAATCACACAGCATATTGCTTCTAAAATGTTAAGCATTCTATAGATGTATGCCTATTTCATAGACTTACTCATTGTTGATAGTAATGTGTCCGTTGGACAATATTGAACCGTTCTCATTGAAATGGACATTCACAAGTACTTTCTATAATCTCTTTCAGTACATGTAAAAGCAGTGAAAAAAAAATCAAACTCAGATCCTTTGGCTCTGAGAGCCATGAACACATGTTTCAAACTGTCTAACAAAGTTTCTGCCTCTATGCCTTGAGTCTTGGTTTTCAGCAATATCGTCACAATAGAGCTGCCATGAGATATTCGTTGCTATGCAGATTAAAAAATACCTCAGAACATAAATAAGGCTTATGAGGACTGACCATTATACATCAGCTTGAATGGATTAAAAACGCCTAGCAGATTAATAAAGGACAGTTCTGAGCATGTCTGTGGATGATTGACATGCATCCCAGCCAATTGGGAATAGACTCACCCAAGCTGTGGGTGGTGCCAACCAGCAGTTCTGGTGGCCTAGATGGGACAAAAAGGGTAAGACTCTCCAGCACACAGAAAGACACTGTAGACTCTCCTGCCTTTGCATCCCCCATAAAGAGCCCTCATTAACCCAAAGATCAAGCACACATTTCTCCCACTAACCACAAGGCAAATTAGAGCCTGGACTCTGTGTTAGGGGTGCACAATGTCACTGCTTTTAGTATAAGCAAATTTGCTTACTTGACATAGAAACGAAAGCGGATTGTTTCACAGCCATTATCACAATGAACTGCCCGGAAATAAGCTCTTCGCAGCCCGTCCTCTTCTATCGCCATCACATTATCTGCTGCCATAGCTATGGTCCTCCAGTCCCCTGTAATCTGGAAAGGAAAGTTTCCATCAGAAGAGTCCCTGGATAGCTTTCTTCTTCTGTCACCAGCTCCTGTTATACTCCCTCCACCTCTCTTTCTTCTTCAGGAAAGGAAATACGTTCGATATTTCCAAGCTGGGCAGAGCCTTATAAGATGAAATAATGATTCAGTTTCACAAATAAACGTGGAATTTAGAGGTTTTTTGAAAGAGCTAAATCAATATCATCAAATTCTATGAAAACTCAAGACACTTTTTTTTTTTTAGCTTAAATGCTTTGTGTTTAGAGATAGATCGGGGAAATCATAAAGATTTCAAATACAGGAGTATTAATGAATATGGAAATACATGCACAAATATGCTTATGAGACTGGCAAGAATATACACCCACAGACACATGGAAGTTGTTCCTTCAGATCAGCCTATATATGATACCTCTTCAACGTGCACAGGCTGGGGTAAGTCGCTACCGCAGACCAGCCCCAAGACCAACATGAGCAGCAGAATATGCATCTTCTTCCTTGTACGTGTCTTCCCTCTTTGTTAGGAACTCAAGTAGGACAGGTTTTGGAGATTTCTGAGCAGATGTCTCCTTTTATAATACTCCTCTCTTGGCAGGACCTGTAATGAACCATCGTCCATCCCAAGACATCGATTAATTATCTTGCATACATCCTGTTGGCAAGGATGAACTGTGTTTGAGCAAGTCTTACTGGACTGTAGAGATTACTCGTACATGAAGCTTAAATTGAGCGTGCTATTTGATCATCCCGTACATGAGAAAACACCATGCACAGGAGCAGTACTTAAAGCACAGCAATGTTTATTTTGGTTTTTTCTATTATCGTCTCCTGCGTACTGAAATGGTTCAGGGAGTACAAAACATTCATCTCCACCGTGTGCATCACTGCATTGACAGGAAGTCGTTGAAACTGACTTTAGAAAATGAAGTTGATACTGTCCCTTGTTGACATTACAGTCTGGATCTGTACCATGAACTCTGCTTATCACTGTATTCTCTGGAGAAACTGACGTTTACGTGTAATTAAACATTTCACCAAGGAAACGGCCTTACCTTTTCCCTCTTTATGATTCCCTCTCATGGACAGGGTGGCATATTTGCTTTCCAACATGTGTTCAAGCACACAGGTAAAGACTGATTGTTTTCTCATTCAAATATATGAGATGCCTTCCTTGTTTACGATCTCTGCTGTTAACGTCCATGTTTCTTCTACACATTCCCTGAAAGTCTCCATCGGTAGGCAAATAAGATGGACAGAGCCTCGGACAGTCAACCTCCAAATTACATGAAGTCAGAATAGCTGCTGTCAGCTATACTGCCGATCTAAATGTGAGAATTCTGTTAGTCCAAAATAACAACACCTGTAATCTCAGCACTCAGGAGGCTGGGGCAGGTGGATCGTTGTGAGTTTGAGGCCAGCCGGAGCTACAAAATGAGTTCAAGGCCAGCTTGAATCGCATAGGGAGACCCTGTTTGCAAAAAAGACAAAAAAGAAAAAGAAAGAAAGAAACCAAAGTAACAACAACCAATCAATTTGAAAAACGTTGGCTTGTGGTTTCAAAATATAGACGGAAATTGAACTGAGCCTTTGTCATTGAATTTAACCCTGCAACCCAACAGATATTTTTTTTTTAATTTTAAAGAGAATAGTTTGAAAAAAACAACAATAGCAAAATACCAACATCACAGACTAAAGCAAAACAAAGCAAAAACATGAAAAATGACACAGGGTTTCAAAACCAAATGATAGGAATTAACAGTAGTTATTTTATGACATATTATTATCCCCAACAAAGTAGCCCAGAGTAAAAGTCTTAATTTGTAAAATAGTGAATGGGGCTGGGGATTTAGCTCAGCGGCAGCGGCACAAGTACCTGCCTGAGAAGCATAGGTTTCTGAGTTCGACTCCTAGTAACTTAAAAAAAATAAATAAATAAAACAAAACAACAACAACAAAAACAACCAGTGAAAAGGAACAAAATAGCCACATACCAGAAATCAAACTCATGACCTCGTGCTTGCCAGGTAGGTGCTGTGCCTCTGAGCTATATCCCTGGCCCAAAATATGCGATATTAAAAGTGAATGATTGGGACTGGGGATTTAGCTCAGCGGCGCAGCGCCTGCCTGGCGGGCGCAAGGTCGTAAGTTCGATTCCCGGTGCAGGAAAAAGAAAAAAAAAAGTGAATGATTGACTGTTTTTGACAGATGTGTGGAATGAGAAGGCATTTTCCCCAGGAACCATTATGAGTATTTCCATCCCCATCCAGTTCCAGACAGTCTCTCTCGGATACCTCCAGGAAGTAGCCTTCCGTTACCTTCACTCTGTTGAAACGCTTTGATTTAAATTTTACAAAGCTTCAGTCGTATTGTATGTGTGATTATCTGTTCCAGGTGCCATTCATTTCTCCTAAGTATTTTCATATTTATCTAAATAATGGCATGCACACCTCATTCGTATGTATCTCTGTGCATTGGAGTAAGGACACATCATACTTCCGTACAGTTAAATATTGACATAGAGGCCGCTCTGTCTTTACAATATTAAACAAAGTCAAAAATTCATGAACAAAATCTTGCCAAGAACTCTGTGTTCCTAACCCTTCAGTAAATTACCACGGATGAATTTTTGGCATCAAGGCCCTGGCAGAACTTTTATTGTCATCATCACCAGGTGACCATCTATGCTGCTACAAATGACATTAACAGTCAGTATCACTGCTAGTTTCCAGTTTCGATTTTACAAAAATTATGTTATGGGTGATGACTGCTGGCAGTTGTATTTAAATTTGTTCCATTTTTTAACTGAAAGCATACCTTTGTTTTCTGATAATTTTGTGCTCTTCCTTGTCCTGAGTTAGAAGATGGTCCACTAACACTAGTTAATGTCAATGGAAGTTACCTCCCCAGTGATACATGCATCTACCCATTTCCTGACATGAATGGACACGTTATGGATTGTAAACATATCTTAATAAAACAGGGTGATTGCATTTAAAATTTTCCAAATCACTGAAGTTAACAAGCAACTTTTTACAGCTACAAATATTGTCAAAATATATTACTTGGTAAGTTCGTCTCCAAATACGAAATCCCATCTGGTCTGCATAATGTGTTGCCTTAATACTGAATGTGGATATTTCTTTGTATATTTGGGTTGCATGCTCTTTTGCAGTAGATATATGCTTGTTAAAGCTGTGCCAATAAAAACACTACATATCGTTTCTCTTAAACAATAGGTGGATCCCTTCACATTTTGAGCCTGAATTTCTTTGATCTGGGAGCGGATAGGGTCGGCTCCTCGTGCAGCTGCTCTCCTTGGCTTGCAAATGGCTTTGTTCGTGTTTTGTCTTCACATAGTCTCTGTGCATTCTTCAGCATCCCTGATCTCATCTCTTTGTCTAAATTATCGCCTTCACAAGGTCTCTGTTGTATTTGATAGGACTCACCGTTAATTCCCTGAATTTAAATTCATGAGCTTTGAGCCTTACTTCAAAATGCAGTCGTGTTCTAACTTGCTGAGAGACTAAGATTCCACCAAATAAATGTGGATAGAGGGACAGTGCAGCCTGGAGCAAGAACATGATCTGACTTCTTGACATGACTCTATGTCACAATGATTGAATTTCACGGTTTTCCATCACTATACATCTTGGGAAAAGATACACACCAGGTATTCCAGTAAAAGATGATTAGAAAAACATAAGTAGAGACAAGTCCAAAGCAAAAGAGGTCCAGTAGGTAAATATTAAACTAGCACATTCTGGCCACATCTGGGACACACTCCGTTGGACATTTGGGTCCAAAGATTTTGGGCAGCACCACCCAGAAGGCTTTGCTAGCTGGAGACCACATGGTCCATGGTCTCTCTCTCTCTCTCTCTCTCTCTCTGTCTCTCTCTCTTGCTGACTAGCTCTGATTCCTGTCTGCAGTTGTACCTTGCAGGAGAGAACTTTGCCATGAACTCCACCTTCCAAGCGTCTCTCCAGAAGGATCTGCTTTACTCTCCCAGGTCCCTCTTGCAATCTCCAGGGCAGTAGTCTCCAACACTTTTTAACGCCAGAGACTGATTTCATAGAAGACTATTTTCCCATGGGCTGAGGCGTGGGGGATCTCCAATGTTCCGGAGTTTCATGGTGATGTTTTCATGTGCTGCCACTGCGAAAAGGCAAGAAGTGAAAATGGGCTTTGGAGCTGGTGTGTAACTCGGAGAGTGAGAGCTGCTTAGCACACAGGAAGTCTTAATGCTCACAAGCCTCGAAAAATACATGTAGATGAGTCATGCTGCCTGTACATTTCCCACATACCTGAATGTATCATTTCCGAGTGGCACAAGAAATAAAGAAAATAGGTAGTACTAATCATGAGGCTACAATTATACTGCACGTACAGAGTCTGTCTGTCTGTCTATTTATCTATTGTCATCATTATCTACCATCTATCCATCTGTGAATGTATTTATCTATCTAACCATGTATTTATTCATGTATCTACCTACCTATCATCTATCTATCATCTATGTATCTTCTATCTATCTATCATCTATCTGCTTACCTGTCTACACATCTATGTATCGATCTATGCATCTATCTATCTACCATCTATCCATCTATATGTGTATTCATATCTATTTTTTAAAAATCCAAGATAAAGTTGGCCATTATACACCATATCTTTTTTCCATAAAAAATGTAACTTTTAATTATACATTTGATTAATATTATAAGATTAATGCTTGGAAATTATTTGTTTTGTTTTGTTTTTTTCAGGTACTGGGAATTGAACTCACGACCTTGCACTTGCCAGGTAGGCACTGTGCTGCTGAGCTAAATCCCCAGCCCAATGCTTGGAAATTATTAACATTTTACTTTATAGGTTGAAATGTTTCTATTACTTTACTTACTGATTGTTTTTATTTTATAAAAAAATGAAATTCCATAATCCTAACATAAGAGAATAAATAC